CACAACCTCGTGGACCTGGCCATGCCCTACTTCATCCAGGTGATGAGGGAGTACCTTAGCAAAGTAAGTACGGGCTCTGCCCTGGCTCCCTTGCTGCCATGTAGCACGGCTGTGGCTCTAGCCCATGCGTGCAGAGGCCCCGTGATGGCCAGTGGCCTGTGGGGGGCCAGCCCAGGTTGGCCAGCCAGCCCCACCCACCCTGAAGAGTGGCCTCATGCCTTCCCAGTGGTTTGCTGCCCGACATTAACCTATTCTAGAAAATCACCTTGGGGAGCTCTGCGCAGAACTGAGCCCGTCCCCTTGCATTTGCTCTCCCCACGCTGCTAGGGGGCACAACAGCTGTGCTCGCCCACAGCCGAGGGCTCTTGTGCTCTGAGAACAGCGAGGCAGCAGGTAGCAGAGCTCCAGCGCACGGCCCGTGGGCTCCGTCCCTGTGCAGTCAGTTCACCTCTCAGGGCGCCTCTGGTGGAGTTCGGGTTGCATTTGTTGGCAGACCTGTCATGGTAACCCCCATTTTGCTGAGCACTTAGTAGGAATGGTAACACCTGGACAGGTAGGTAGTCATCCACTCTACAGCTGTAGTCACAGGTTTGGGTCCAAAGCTGACAGGTGAAGACATGGGCTCAGACCCACATCTCCCTGGCCTCAGGGCCATACTCATATCTCAGTAACTGTTGCTTCTACCACTCCAGACATCACTTGGTGGCCCTAGCATCCTACTCTTCCCTTGCAGGTTGATGAGCTGTTTAACGAGGTGGGAGTGTCTGAATTTAACTCTCCGTGTGTGTTGAAGCCCTAGGAGTTCTGGTCAGGGGCCTAATTGAGGCACCATCCAGAGACCCTTGTCACCTAGTCTGGTTTGTTTCTAAGGCTGCAGAAAAGCTGCCACTCAGCAGCACCTACTGGCCCATCCAGCCATACACCTAATGTTCTTCCAGGCACATGGAGGGCCCACAATGCTAAGAAGCCCCTAGGCTGAGGGTCTCCTTCAGTGGTGTGAGGGGAGGGGCCTGCAGGGGTTAGTGTGGTTAGAGAAGAAATAAGAAGTGCACAGGTGGGGGGTGTCTGGCACTGCCAGCTTTGGCCTGTGAGGGCTTGCTCTTTCTGCCACCTGCAGTGCCTCCTGGGAGCTGCCCAGCCCCTGTCAAGGACTGTTCCATGGGTCATTCAAGACCATCTCCCTGCTACAGGAGGAGGGACTGCCAGAGTGTGTCCTAGTCCCATTCACACAGCACATCTGAGTGGGAGGTGTCCCGAGGTTCTTCAGGGGACAGGAGAGGGGCAGTCCTGGCCATGTGGCCTGATCTGCAGGCTACTAGGGTACATAGACTGGTTGGATTTACAAGAGTCCCTGGTTCCTCAACCACAGTGGATAGCAGCTCCCTAAAGGAAGTGTCTGTGCTGTGTGGAGCTTGTCTTCAGAACCTGTCCTATGGTTTCTGCTTTTCCCATCCCTAAATTGTCTTAGCCATAGTCTGTCTCCTGTGCCCCTGCATAAAGAAGGGTACATATGGCTTGAATATCTTCCTAGAATTGAGGCCCATGGGTTAACATAAGAGGAACTCATATCACTCAGACCTTCATTGCTGCAGGTGTTGGGACCTCCAGGGGGCCTCGAGGACTAGGGGGGGAAACACACTCCCTCTCTGTGATGAATGATGGAGGTCATCCTGGCAGCCATGTCAGTATTGCAGCTGCATAGCTACTTCAGGGTGGAATAGTGTGCTTGGGCTACAGCTGCCGTCCTGCTGGAAGGACCTGCTCCCTAACCCAGGGTCCCCAGACACCTCCCCTAGTCCTAGGACGAAGTCAGGGGCTACCACGGCTCCCAGCATCACTGCTGCTCCACATGCCTGCACCAGCACCAGACCCGATGTTTGTCATGTTGGGGGTAGGGTGGGCTCAATAGAGGTTTCTTAGGCAGTGGTGGGATGTGGGCTGGTCCTTAGCTGGCCTGGGGCCCAACAGACTAGACTGCTGTGAGGTCGAGAGGCCCAGACAAGAAGGCTACAGCCCCTTCCTGCCTGGAGAACCGAGCCCAGGGCCTCTTGATTCATTTGGGAAGCTTGAGGACCGTCCCTCTGAGAAAAACCCGCATCCCTGAGCCCCCTGGCTCTCTCAGTGGAGGATGCAGGCCTAGTTTAGACCTCAGCTTGGGTGGGAGCCAGCTGAAGGAAGAGAGTACGGATTGCGAGGCCACTGCACTGTCTTGCTCCTTTCTCACCTCAGCTCTTGTCCCAAGGAGGAAAGGGGAGAGGAGTGCAGAGGGCCAGTAACAGGGCTGCTTCTGCTAGGGTTCTGGTGCCTGACCTGATCTCTCCGTGGCCCGAGTGCACACAGGGCACATAATTTTTTCTTCTTTCTGACTCAAGTCCTTGTTTTGGTGGGGCCAGGGCAGGGGGCGGGGGGTGTCCCAGACACACAGTTGCTATCGCCACCACTAGGACAGTGCTGTCTGCCCCTCAGGCCCCTGACACCACCTTGCTCTGTTCCCTCCCCATCCGAGTGTCTGCCCCAGCCTGTGGGTACTGCATGGGGTAGCCCTTGGTGAAGCCTTGAGGAAGAGCAAGGAGGCAGCCTGTCCTCAGATGGCTGTCGCTGCCCCCACCTCTGAGGTGGCGCATCCGCTCTGCCAGGTGGGATGTCCCAGATGTCAGGTGACTGGTCTCCTCAGGAAGGGTGGGCAGCGTGGACTGGCTAGATGTAGGAAGTGCTCCGCCGTCTTGGCGGTGCGCCTGTATCCAGAGGAGGGCCAGCCCCGTGAGCTGGGCTGCACATGCAGCCTGCAGTCACCGGCCGTGCTCTGCTGCCCCGGGCCGCCAGGGGCCCGCATGAAAAGTACCGGGCTGGAACAGTGGGAGGGTCACCAGGGCCCCCTTGGGCACTCCATGTGTACCCAGTTATAGAGGCTTCACCTTCCTGTGGAGCAGGGCAGTAGTCACTGGTACAGCGTCTGCCCTCCAACCAGCCCCCGCCCTGACTTTCCTGGAGGCTGTGTGCTGCCTCCTGTCCGGCAGGCACTCCAGCGCTCTCACCTCTTGGCAGGTAGACAGACTGGACGCTTCGGAGAGCCTGCGCAAGCGAGAGGAGCATGTGGTGGAGCCCGCCCCTCTCCTATTTGGTAGGTGGCATCCCCTTACCCCTAGGGAGGGGTGAGTAAGGAAGGTCATTCACGTTGCCCTTCCCTGGCTGGGCTTCAGATCAGAGAGGGAACGGACAGGTGGGGCACAACGGCTGCTGGGTGTGGAGAAGGTCAGTGGACCCAGGAATGTTGGAGAGACCCGGCCATTGTCCTCCCTTTTCTCAGGGTACCTGCCTTCTGTGAGGGTGCCCCTGCCTGCTCCTTGTGCCTAGCAGCTGCCCCAGTCTGAGCTGCTGCCGTGTGCTGCTCTGCCTGCTGCTGGCTGTGACTGCAGAGCCTGCCTGGATGGCCTGGCCATCGAGCAGACCGATTAGTTGGTGTCCGCTGCACCAGAAGGCTGTTGGGTTCTGGAGTGTGTTGCGGGACTAACAAAGGCCTGAGGGTGTGGTGTGAGCACGCAGCACGTCTCCCACCAGCTGTGTCCTCCTCAGGGTCATTGTGCCCCCCTGCCACCACCATTAATGTCAATCTGGTTTTTTTAGATTTTGATGGGCATGATTGAGACCCAGCCAGTTGAGCTAAGTAAGTGTCCCATTTCGGGACTAGCTTACCCCCTAGCCTGGCCAGCCTCTGTAGCTGGCCCCACAACAGCAACTCCCACTGCCCTTGCCCCCAGGCACCTGTTCTCCAGTGCCTGAGCCTTGGGTGGTCAGGGCTGGTCTGCCACCCTGCTCCTTGGGCCCCTGGCCACTCGGCAGCAGGAGCTCTGCTCACCCTCTGCTTCTCCCTCTGCAGGCCAGCAGCTGATGCTGACAGCGGGCCCTGCTGCAGGCCCTGCCCCTGCCGGCTTCCCCTATGGATATGCTGCTGCACCTGCCTTCGCCCAGCCTCCCGTGTACGGCTTCAGCGTGTAGCGGGCGCTCAGTGGCAACACACCTCTATGGGGTTAACCTCAAGGAGTGTGTCATCCCACAAGCACAGAGGACCCTGATGGGAGGCGGGGACACCTGGACATTGTTTATTTTTGCTGAGGCCCAGTGGTGGCAGCCTCTAAGCCATCTCCAAGCCTGGGGAGGCCAGGGTAGCCACTGACTGCCCAAGAAGACCAGCTCTGGTGGACTCTTGCCTCCAGGCCCTCTGGCTGGAGCCAGGCATTCCTGGGGATTTCTCGGCAGGGATTCCCTGCCCTTGGTGGGAGGGGCACCCAGTTTTCGCTCAGCACTGACGGAGCTGCCACCTCCAGGCCACTTTGCCAGACACAACTGAACGGACCTTCTAACCTGGCCCTGAGCCTCCTACCGATCATGAATATTAAAGTCGGTTTATCAAGGCAAAGCTTCCCTGCTTGGTGCTGGTGTGGGTAGCAGGGGACAAAAGATTTGCTGGGGCCTCTTTGGAATGGGAACCCGCGTCTGCCCAGGGAACAAGCTGCTCAGGGGGAGATAGCCAGGGTGTACTGGGGATCTTTTTCCTGAGTTCTCTGCACGGAGCTCTAAATACCGTAGCGGGGGGTATGGTAGCCGCACAGCCTGTTGGGTGTCGGAATGCCAAACCCTCAAACGTCAGGGTTGGGACTAGCCCCATGTGCCCCGGGGGTGGGGGGTGGGGTCTGCCTGTCTCTCCACCCCCGATCTCCGGGGATCCCGGTCGCTCAGGCAGATGCCACGATCCTGAGACCTGCTCCTTCCCGTACTGGATTCTGCCTGATGCCGGGGCGGGTTTTAGAAACTGCACCTTGACCCACAGATCCAGGCCCGAGCACAGCACCGCCTCCCAAGGACCCTGAGCTCGGTCATTGGCTGGGCTATCGATCCCGCCCCGGCGCCTGCCTCGCTCGCCCCGCCCCGGCCTCAGTTTCCCGGCCGGCGCGGGGCGGGCCGGGGGCGGGGCCCGGCTCGGACCACGCGGGGCGGAGCCCGGGAGCTGACGCGACCGCTCCGCCCCCTGGGCCTTAACCGGCCGCCGCCGCCGCCGCGGACCGAGCGCGGAGAGCAGGGGGCTTGGACCCGAGGCCGACGCCGGGCGCCCCGCCTCCCCGCCTGCCATGGCCAAGCCCCGCGCTCTGGCGGCCGCCGCACCCGCGTCCGGAAAGGCCAAGCTGACGCACCCGGGGAAGGCGATCCTGGCAGGTGGGCCCCTCCGGGGCACGGACCCCAGATTTGCCCCCTCCGTTGGCCCCACGGTGCTTCCGGGTGGGCCAGGGACGCCGAGGCCCCGCCCCACTTCCGGGTCGGGTGAGGGGTGGGGCTCGGCCCGGGTCCCCAGCCAGCGCTTGGGGGATCGCCCAGCTCGTCGCCCCTCCGCGCCTAGCCAGGACAACGTGGGTGGGGCAGGGGACGCTGCCGGGCCTCCCCTACACCACAGGCGCGGGACAAAGTCCGGGGCGGGGGAGGGGCCGGGGCTCCAGCAGCGGCGGGCCGGACGGCTCGGCCGCGGGGCTGTGGTCTCAGGGTCCGGGTCCCTGGTCTCCTCAGGCGGCCTGGCGGGCGGCATTGAAATCTGCATCACCTTCCCCACCGAATACGTGAAGACACAGTTGCAGCTGGACGAGCGCTCGCACCCTCCGCGGTACCGGGGTATTGGTGAGTAGGGGGCTGCCGGGGGGACGGGGGGCGAAGGGGTAGGGGCGGTGCGCCACCGAGAGGGCCGGGCCCTGCGCTCGGGGAGCAGCCTTGGCGGGCTGCGGGGAACTGCGGGGGGCGGGTCTCTAGGGCGGCTGGGGTCGCTGAACGCCCCCTCCTCCAGGGGACTGTGTGCGGCAGACGGTCCGCAGCCATGGCGTCCTGGGCCTATACCGAGGCCTCAGCTCCCTGCTCTACGGCTCCATCCCCAAAGCGGCCGTCAGGTGAGGCGGGCTGGGGTGGTCGAGGGAGGGCATCCGGGCCGGGCGGCTGTAACCCCTCTCACCCCACTGCCTCCTGTTCTCAGGTTCGGGATGTTTGAGTTCCTCAGCAACCACATGCGAGATCCCCAGGGACGCCTGGACAGCACCCGGGGACTGCTGTGCGGCCTGGGTGCTGGTGTGGCGGAAGCCGTAGTGGTCGTGTGCCCCATGGAGACCATCAAGGTGGGGAGGGTCCCAGTAGGGAGAAGGTGTGCGGAGGGGCGCTAGGGTGGCTGGGGTCATCCTAGGAGACCAGCAAGGTAGAGAAGGTCCTGCAGGAGCAGGGCAAGGTGCGCAGGGGAAACTGCCTGGGGAGCTGGGTGCAGGAGGTGTGCAGGAAGGGCCTCCTCTGGAGACTGGACTCTGTCCCAAAGGCAGTGGGACAACTGACATTGGGGTTTTTTAAAAAAACACTTTTATAAACAGAAAACGTAGGATAACATGTTTCCTGCCTAAGCTGTAGGAAATACCAGCAAACGTAACTGCAGAGTCTTTAGTAAGGCCAGCCCTCTTGTTTGCTGGGGTCTTTGTGTCCTGCGGTGACCTGGGAGGCCCTGTTTCCAGGTGAAGAGCTGCACCTCCAACCCTGATCAGATCTTTGTGGGCCCTGGGCCTGCAAGCCAAAGGGCCAAGTATGCCCTTCCAGGGGCATCCTGGGAGCTAGGGCCTTTGCTTTCCTCTCACAGGTGAAGTTCATCCACGACCAGACCTCCCCCAACCCCAAGTACAGAGGATTCTTCCACGGGGTCAGGGAGATTGTGCGAGAACAAGGTGAGCCATAATGGCTTCCTCCTCAGGTAGGGCCAGGGACCTTGGCCAGGCTGGCCTGAACTTCCCCTTCCTGCTTTGGTGCTCTGGTGTGCCACTCTCCCCACTCCCCAGTCCCAGCTGGGGCCTGGGAGGCACCAGTATGACTCCCATGCCTGTCTGCCCCTAGGGCTGAAGGGAACCTACCAGGGCCTCACAGCCACCGTGCTGAAGCAGGGATCTAACCAGGCCATCCGCTTCTTCGTCATGACCTCCCTGCGAAACTGGTACAGGGGTATGTATCTGTTGGGTCTGCACCCCCCAGACCCCACTTCCAACCACTCTGGGTTAGGCTCCTCCTCTTCAGTCTTCCCTGCCAGGACCTGGCCTCCTGGGGTCCTCACATTGATAGGCTCTTTTCCATGCTCCTCCCGAGCCCTGAAGAGCCCTCCCCTTTGCCTTCCCATCACTTTCTGATTGCATCTCCCACCCACATCCAGGGGACAACCCCAACAAGCCCATGAACCCACTGATCACCGGAGTGTTTGGAGCTGTCGCTGGCGCAGCCAGTGTCTTCGGGAACACTCCTCTGGACGTCATCAAGACCCGGATGCAGGTGGGGGTGGGGCCAGGAAGGGGGTAGGGAGTTTGTGACAGGGGCTAGCCGCTGAACCCTGTGGCACACTGCTGTCCTGCAGGGCTTGGAGGCGCACAAATACCGGAATACATGGGACTGTGGCTTGCAGATCCTGAGGAATGAGGGGCTCAAGGCGTGAGTAGGGGAGGGGCAGGGCTGTGGTCCCCACCTGCTGCCAGCCCGACTATCCCTCAGGGAGTCCTTACCTTTAGGTTCTTGCCCTTGTCCCTCTGATGTCTGGACCCACCCTCACTGTACAGGGACACTGTTCTTCATCTGCCTTCTCACCTCCTACCTCTCCCTGCTCACAACCCCAGATTCTACAAGGGCACCATCCCCCGCCTGGGCCGGGTCTGCCTGGACGTGGCCATCGTGTTTGTCATCTACGATGAAGTGGTGAAGCTACTCAACAAAGTGTGGAAGACAGACTGAGTCCCCAAGGGGGTCTGCATGGGGGTTGGCCGAGGTGCCTCCAGACCAGTCCCCACTGCCCTCTTCTCACGATTCTAGTGCAGTCGTGCCAAAAGGCCCCTTTTCCCTGTTCCTTGCACTCCATGGCCTGGGTCTGTCCCCTGCAGCCATTGAGTCCACATGTCCCTTAGTGCCGGGTGTCCCGTGGTGTGTTAGGACACCACCATTGTGTCCATGTGTCTGGCCAAGGCTGGGTGTCCCTCTGGCCTGTGAATCTGTGCCCACTTGTCCATGTGCTTACTCATGAGCCGTGTACCTGTGTTTCATGTTCCGTGTCATGTGACCTTGTGCCCCACTTCCCGGGGTGCCCATGTGGCTTGGGTCCACGGCCCTGTAGCCATGGCCCGGTCCCAGCCCGGTGCCTTCCACCCTGGGCAGCAGGGGCACCTGCCCCGGCCTACCACAGCTGCCTCTGGGCCTCAGCCTGGCCTCACCGCATTCCAGGGGCTACATGCCCCCTGCTTCTCCCGCCACTGGCCTTAACTGGCCCTTGGGCCCTCCCTCCGCCCGGGACAGGGTGGCACCTGCCACTCTCACGACCACCCTCCCATGGCAGAATAAACCGGATCCTGTCGCAGCCTCCTGTCCCTGTGTGGGCCCATCTGTGGGTGGATAATGATTGTCCATGCCTCTGTAAAGAGCAGGTCCACCCCCTCACCAGAGAACACTGGCAGGGGAACAGGGAAGCAGGGCGGCAGGCAGGCTAGTGGGTGAGCCAGCTGTGGCCACAGCATCAGACCCCAAGAGGCCTGGCACCATCATGCCGAGGAACATTTGGACTCTGTCCAGGCCATGCTTGTGGCCTGTGAGCAAGGTTCTGCAGGGTCAGCTAGTGGACATGCCCTCAGGATCACCTGGCAGGCAGCACTGAGTGGGCAGAGTGGAGAACTGCCCCACCCCAGGGGTTGGGCCTGGGAGACAGTGCTTCAGGGCCCTCAACTGCCCCTCAGCCTGTGGCCTAGCTCACCTTCTACTACTCCCTCACAGTTTCTCTGTGGTCTGCTTGTGGGGAAGTGCTTTGGGGCATCTAATTTCTGAGGCTCTGAGCAGGGGACCTTTGCTCACTCCTTTACCCTGGTCAAGAGACAGCTGCCCTGGGGCAGGATGGCGTAGAACTGCCTGACCAGGGCCCCAGGGCCCCTCCTTCCCCCCAGATCCGGAGCTGGGAACCACAACCCAGGGCCAAAGTGGAAGAGCCCCGAGAGCAGGATGGGATAAACCGGGGCCCCTGGCTGTGCAGGGGCAGAAGGCACTTTGCTGTCTAAGTGATCCATGGGTAAGAGTCATTCAAGGCTTTGGTTCAGATTGGGAAATAACTTGCCAACAGAAGCCTCCCACCAAGCAGGTCTGGTCCTGGTCCTAGAGCTGCTCCTTTTAGGGGAGAGTGCCCTACCCCCCCCTGCAATCTCCCACAACATCCAGATCCCTGGTCTAGGGATCTGGGACAGATCCGAGGGACAATTGTGGGCTTAGGGGTACAAGGAAAATGGTTTTATAGGACTGGGCAGTGCATACTCAGTGCTCTTGGGAGGTAACCAGTCCTAGCCACAACTGAGGAGAAAGGGCCCTAGAGCAAAGTTTGCCTGCCCACAGGGGCCAGGGGCTGTCTCCCACACACACATACTGGGGCATGCAGAGCCAGACACAGGCCACTGGCTCCTTTCTGGGCCTCAGGAGCTTTGCCGTGGTGATAGGCAGTGCTGGCCCATGGCATAGGCCACTGAGGCTAGGGGAGCACACAGCAGACAGCATCTCTGGGCTGTGGTGGGGAACAGAAAGAGCCCTGGCTTCTCATTTGTTCACTGTGTGACCTTGGGCAAGTCACCTAACTTCAATTTCCTAATCTGTGAAATGGGGTGACAGAAAAACCCAGTCCATCCGTATAAAGTGCTTAGAACAATGCCTAACACAGTAAGCCCTTGCATGTGTAGCTTTTTTTTTTGGGTTGTGGAAGGTTATTTACAGTCGGCCAGAGTTCCAGGTAGTTCCTAGAGCAGGCAAAGCCCAGCAGCTGAGCCCTGAGGGGACTCAATGCTCCCAGTACTACCTCCAGGAATGGTAACCATTCACTGACTACACACTAGCATCCCAGAATCCTGTCCCCTTCACCCTTCACTGGGAGGATGGGGCTGAGACTGCACTGGTCTGAGAGTAGGGCATGGGGACCCCCACCCAGGAGCAACCTAGCCCCCATTCCTCTCTCTTCAGGAGGATCAGGAGCCCTACCATAGTCCAGGTCCCCTCTCCTGTGTCTCCCAGCACGACGTGGTAGCCCAGCCAGAAAAGACAGCTGGGTTGAGTTTCCTGGGGCTGTGGTTACAGAAGAGCCACACACTCTGGTGGAGGCAATTCTACCCCCTTCACACATTACCTGAATTAGTAGGCGGCCTCAGTTCTTGGAGCTGAGACCTGAGGGAAGGGGAGCAGGAGGGGCAAGGTATCCTGTATGCAGGAAAGAGCTTGTGATGTCCAAGCTGAGGGAAGTGAGCAGGCAGGGACCTGGAGGGAGGGAGCCCAGCTGCATTTAACTAAGACCCCAAAGGCTGCAGAGAGGAGGACAATGGCAGGGGACCCTTGTCCTTGTGGCAGTGGGGGCATAGGGGCAGAGATGTGTGCAGATCTTCAAGGAAATGGGAGGTAGAACAGACACAACTTCCAGCCTGGTCCCCTACCTGGACACAGACCAGTGGTGGGGTAGCAGGTGGGGTGGGGGGAACCCCAGGAGGTGGCTGGGTCTGCTTATCAGAGGAGAGATGTGAGCTGAGGAGGGTGGAGACTCCAGGTCACCATGTCCCACCCACAGCCAGAACCTCTGTGCTGAACTGGAAGCCATAGCCAGCCTCCGCTCAGCCTCAGGCAGCCTTCACCATCTAGCATGGCCTTGACCTGGAATCCTAACGTAATGTAGCCAGGAGGGACAATGGCCTCAGAGACAGGGCAAGGGAGCAGAAGGTGAGGTGGTGGCTACTCCTGGGGCAGGGCTTGGCCAACCTCCGGCCCTGTCATCGCTGCTGTGGGGCTGAAGAATGGTGTCCTACCCCCTTAGGCAGAGGCCTCAGGCAGCTGTCCTCCAGCTCCCCTCCTTCCTTGAACCCACCCCCTGCCCCTGCACAGGCATCCCCTGGATTTTTCCATGTCCTTGTGTAGGTGATGAATGGCAGTTAGAGCTTAGTACACACACAAAAAAACAGTCACTCCTGACAAATGGGTCTGTGTCCTTTTAGCCAACAAAGACAATTCTGTTTTTCGGGTTGTGCCCTTAGCCTTTATAGCAAACACAATCTCAGTTGAGGATGTCAGAGTTATTTCCTTTCTTTTTACTTCCTGCAAGTTCTCAGATTCCCTGGGCAAGGGTCTTTGGTAAGGGGCACAGAATCGGGGTCTAGGGGAGCTCCTGCCACATCAGGATCTGGGAACAGGGACTCGACACCCTAGGGACAAGGACTTAGATGCACGCACAGTAAAGAACTGGCCTGAAAGGACAACTGGAGGGCCACAGACAACACTCAGGATTGTGGGTGAACTTGACCTAGGCCAACGATGTGGGTGACCCATGGAAAAAAGGTGGCCCCTGGTGTGGTCTTGTTTCTCCCCTCTGCCCACACCCACCTGGCAAATATCCCTGGGGCAAACTCCCCTTCTCCAAACCCCACCCCCACTCATTTTGGGTCAAACCCTGACCAAGCCCCGACTGTTGTCACCTTTGTCTCCTGGCAGGCCATGCCCACCTCCCCACGTAATCCTCCACTGACTAGGCCTGACCTGGGAGGCTTGGCCACAGGGGTGTCATCTCCTGACGTGACCTCAAGGGATAAAGCATCCCACCCCCTCTGCTCTAAGCAGTGCTCAGATGCCTACAGTGGCCTGCCGCCCCGCCCCTGGCTGAAAAGCACTGAAGACGCTGGGGCCTTGGGCAGTTTTACCACGCTGACCGGGTCGGTGCGGCTGAAGCTCCCTGGCCAGCCTGTTTATCTGCCCCTGGGTGCCCTACACAGGGTGACCGAAGCCCCGCAGCGCCCTCCCCACCCGCGCCGCCCGATGGCCTGACGAGGAACGGCCTGCTCTCGGTGTCCAGGAGACTGCCCCCAATGGCTGGGATGGGGGCAGGGTAAATAAACTGCCCGCGATTGTGACCGGGAGGCTTATCCCGACCAGGTCACGGGAAAGAGGCTGTGCTTGCCAGGGCCGAGTGACGAAGGGTCCACCCTCATGGTCGTTCGTTTGCGCCCCCAGGCAGGCTGCTGAAGGCCGCAGACCATCAGGGCCTCTCTCAGCACTCGCCGTTAGAGGGACGGGGGCCCGTGGGCGCAGAAGGCACCCAGGGGGGCTTCCTGGGTCCATTTGTGAAGAAGGAACCAGATTTTCCCGGCCTTGGGGACACGCGGTGAGAGCAGGGTAGGCGGGGGCCAGGCCGCCCGCGCGCGATCAGGAACCGCGGCGGCCCGGGACGGGGACACTCGCGCCCGGAAGTCGGGGCGGCTCGTGCTGATGGCGCCACGGGCGCGCTCCCGGCCAGCGTAGGCTCGCTCACGCGCTGCCCCGGGGCTCCGCTGCGGGTCAGGGTGGCTGGGGTGTCGGAAGGCGGGTCCCTCGCAGTCAGTACCACCAGTCCCCACCCTCCTATTTCCCCGCCAATGCCCGCCCTCGCCTGCAGTCCCCCAACACTCTCCCGAGTCACTGAGGCGCCTGTTCCGGCGACCGACGGCCCACGTTGGACGCTGCCAGCGGCCTCTCCTGACACGCCGGCCGGAGGGTACATCCCCCGAGCTCCCGCACCCCCGCCTGGAGATGGCGGTGTCCCAGGGCTGGACTTGCCCCGCGGCAGCCTGCTTTCTGCCTCACCCCCAGACGGGCAGCACGCGCTGCTCCCTCTTCCTCGAACACTCTTCTTCGCCCCCGACCTTTACCTTGTTACTCACACTGTTCTCAGGTCCTGCCAGACCTATGTACAGGTAGAGGGACTGTTCCCCTTTTCCCGCACAGCCCCCTCACCTGGTTACCTTCCTGTGTACTCAGACCCGAGCTCCCGGAGGGCAGAGCTTGGGCCTGTGGCTCACCCGTGTCCACTCCGCAGAGCCTGGGCTCCAGAGATGTTTGCCAAGTGAAGGAAGGAAGGACTTGCGACTGTGTCTTTTCCTCCCCACTGCAGGTCTTTGCTTCAGTGCCCCCAGCCTCAGCCATGTGGAAGGAGATAGGGTCAGGGGATGGGACGAAGAGGGCTCCACCAGCCTCTCCACGGCTACCTCCCTTCCGGTCCTGCCTCCCTGGCCAGCTTCAGACCAGCTGTCTGCTGCCAGCCATGGGTTCATGTAAGGCACAGTGGCCTTGCCACCTCCCCATGGAGAGGGAGGCCTGTGGTGCACTGACACCCCTCTGAGTCTCCCACTCCAGGGGCCTGTCATTAGCAGCCCAGGAGGAGGCTTAGGGGCTTGGGGTGTCCCTACGGAAGGCAGCAGCGAGCACAGGCTGTTCAACTGGACAGTGGTGCCTCCTGGCTGGACCTTTCCTCTCAGCCAGCCCTGTTTCCCAGACGGGAAAACCCAGGCAGAGACAAATGAACTATCTAGGACCTAGCTA